CGGAGTGCGGTCGGGGCGGGGCTGAGGGGCCGGGCTTCCCCCCGCCCCCGGCACGTGGGTCCCTTCCTGTCAACAGCGCGCCGCCGCGGCCTTCACCCCGCCGCCTTTCGCGATCGAGTTCCTGACGCTTTCCCTCCACTTTCAGTGCTTCTGGTGAAAAGCCTTTTTACAGGCAAAAGCCTCATTTCCCTGCCTGACAGCTGATAGGTTTTTATTTTACCTTCAGGCGTATTTGCGCTTGTTTTTAGCAGTGAAGCCAAGCTTGAACAGGGGTAGATACCTCCACCATTATGAAGGTAGAGAGCTAGAAATGTGGAATGAGTAATGGTGATCCTGAAACGGTCCTGCACAGCTCGGTCTCTTTGGTGAATTCAGTAGTATCTTGATGTGTAGGCAGCTGTGTCTTGTTAGCCTTGACTGTTAATGTTTTCTTTATTTTCCTGTATTCTTTCTTTTCTTGCATTCAGCTGGCTCCCCTCTATGACATACACAACATTGCTAGTGGTGAGATGTCAGAATGAGTATCTAGAATCACTGGATATGTATGACCTTTGCTCTTCCATGAGGGGAAACTTTTAGTGGGTTTTAATTTATTTATTTATTTCTTCTTAAAACTGTGCACCCAACTTGTAATGATGTGGTATGATCTAGTGACTACAAGCTAGCAGCAGTCGTCTTCTTACTTTCTTGACAGGAGTGAAATATCTTTCCCCATTTCTAGTGAGATATTAAGAAAGACCAGAAATGGATGCATGAGGCATTGTTTCATTCTTGGTTGAGTCAACAGTAATTTTTCTTCTTGACTAACTTCTAAGCTCCAGCTTTTGACCTTTTTTAAGCTCTACCTGGCTTGGCTTGGTGTAGGATACAAAATCCTTTTGAGCCATTCTCTTAGAGTTTCCTAAAGAAAAATCATAATCGTGCAGAAAATGCAAATTTCATCTTGGGAGTAAGTGAACATACTTGCAGTCAGGTATAGTACAGGGTTCATTGTATGAAGTAATTTTCTTTTGAGGTTGCTTGGATAGATACTTTGAAACCCTGTGAATGAAAAAGTTTGTATAGGACTACCGTAAACATTAGGCTGATGCCAACTGATACCCTGAAAATTATCAGGGGAGTGCATAGAGCTTGAAAGTGCAGTAAATTCAAAATGTAATTTCTAAACTATTTTTTTTAAAGACTTCCTATCTTTTTTTTTCCTTGATGCCAGTAATAGTTTTTGTTATCTGAACAGATGAAGGCTGCCTTTAATAGGTGTAGCTTTTTGAAGTGGGATATATGGAATGAGGATTGCAAACCTCCCTCACAGGAGGCACAGGGGTGCAGAACAAGGTGGTAATTTTTGATAGAGTAAGAAGTAGTATTTACTTTTTTTAGTGTTTGTTCTCATTATTAAGCTTTAATATTTAAGGAAAAAAATGGAAAAATAAGTAGGTCTTTCTATTAATAAGATTGTTCATTACTTTTGAATCACAGGATAGTATTTCCATTTGCTTAAATTTATTAATTACTCTGGAATTTCCTATCGTTGATATCTACCTCAGGTTGAATTACATATCACTGATTTAGCTTCAGGTCCTATAACCACATTTTCCAACTTCTTACAACTAACTTCAGCTCCTCTTGAGAACGAGGTTGGAGGAGGGGAAAGTCTTTCTGCCTTTGAAGAGAATTAAATCATCAGGTTACCTTTTCTTTTAGCTATCTTCATGTCTGTGTACAAAAATGCTGGGTTTTGAAGTTTGGCAGAGAATTGCATTTTATTATCCCCATCAAATTATATCTAAATTTTGAAGTGGTTGTTATAAATCATAAAATTCAATTTACATGTCCTTAGTAATTGTTTCCCTTTTTCAAAAAGGACTTAAACTCCAAAGATACTGTTTTCCACAACTTTGTCCCAGGATCTGGTGGCTTTGTCCTAGTCAGGCTCTGAGTTTACAGATGGGGCCTGAGGTGTTCCGGGTCAAGAGAAGAAACAGGTGGCTGGAGTGTAGGAAGTACAACAGCAAAGAGGAAATGAAGTCACAGATCAGGTTCTGACATCTGGTGAAAGCTGTGACTGGACTTGGTGCAGGACCAGTGTTTAGACTACTTATGGAAGAGGAGGAAGACGCTGGAGCTGTGTGGGAGGCTGGGGAAAGGGCAGTAGTAGATGCGAGTCTCCTAAAGAACTGTATTTGGATGAGAAAACTGGAAAAGGATAGAGAGATGGGGATTGAGATCAGACCTTGAGTCCAGAGGTGGCAAAGAGGAACTGAAACTGGTTTAGTGAACAAGGGCAGAAAAGGCAGAAAACCCCAAGGAATTAAAGTGGGGTAAGGAGAGAATGGAAAGAATTTGAAATTATAATATGGCAGTTGTATTTCACAGAGTCGTAAGAAAAAAGGCTATGAATTTTATGGGGTTAAACTGACTGGGATAACACAGAACTGAAGGAGTGGGAATTTGGAAAGAGTAAGAAAGTAACAAGAGGCTGGGACAGGAAACACTAGGTAGAAGACAGATGAGCCGAAGAGCTTGTGCCTACAAGCATAGACTAGAACTCTGGTAATTTTTCTAACTGGTGAGTATCAGTGAAACCAAAAGATAAAACTTACTTTTTTTGCTCCTTCAAATATTGTATAGCAAAGGAGATGGACAGACGTTTGTGTTCTGAAGCAATCAGGAGTATTAGCAGTAAAATCCACATACAGGAATTTTGTTGAGTTTTGGGTTTGTTCTTTGGCTTGGAGAGCTACACAGGTGTAAAATCTTAACAGCAGCAGCAGCTTCAGGGAATGCCAGAATGAAAGCTGATTGAAAAGCCTCACTTAGCCCCATCCCCCAATTTGTTATGAAGGTCTGTGATTGCATATTAACAGTATTTTTTCCCAAAGAATCTAACTTTTTGCTGCAAGTTAGTTAATGTATAATGAATGAGAATCTAGTTAAATATTTGTTTTCACCTCATTTTCTGTGGCTTCTTTATAGCAAAGAAGCTAAAATGCTTTGAAACAAAAACATTTGCTGATTTGTTTGTCATCTCGTCCCAGCCCCCATTTTAAGTTCCTGTATTCTTCATAGAAATTATGATAGTACATAAGTTGGTATGTATTTTACCTTGACTTTTTTAAGTTACCCCCACTTTATATATTGAGGCCTGAGTCACAGAAGTTCAGGTTAAAAGTAGGTTCTGTTATGATTACCTATTTTCAGATGGCAATGACGTAATGCAAGGCACTTTTCAAAGAGTTATCCAGGACTTTACATTTAAAAACATAACTTTCTTTAAGTTGTGGTTGTATTTTTTTTTTTCCCCAGCTTCCTGGTGTAGTGGACTAAGGGTGATAGTCACTTAAACCCTGTTTTGCTTACATCAGGTGCAAACAGGAGGATATAATTTAGCTTTTTAGGATATGATGTGATTGCTTTGCTGCTGTACTTTGTTTTCCTGCAGGCTCCTGCAAAAAGCATTACATGCCTTGTGCTAAACAGGTGGAGAAGATAAAATATTGAACCCAGACAGGAGCCTAAATTCTGTTGTTTCTTAACTTTTGAGTGTTTGGCATAACAAACTGAAGAAAGTATATAATGTGGTTTTGTGTGCTGAATAGATTTGGGACGTTTTATTTAATATTTACGAATCATTACTTTGTAATTTTTGTAGAACCACAGGAAAAGAAGGTTAGAGGACACTTAGATACCATCTAATTTACTTTTTCCCCTCTAGATAAGTTCAACTACATTTATGTAATTTTGGTCAAATATATACTTTGCCTTGTTTTGGTGGTCTCTGATGGTAGAGATTGGATATCATAGCTGCATACTGGTCTAGATGTACTATTAATATACTTGAATGTTTTTTCTTAACATCTAACTTCAATCTTTGCTCTATTTTAATCATATTTCTTCTGTCTACTGTTAATTTGACAAATAGATCATCTCTTTTTTTTTTTTTTTTTCTTTTTTTCACCAGGCAGCTTTTTGCCTATTTAAGGTGAAGAGTTGTTTAATGTTTTCCTGTTCCAGCCTAAATGATATGGAAAGAGAGTAAGGGAAAATTAAGCCTAATGTTTGGCTGTCATATATATTGATTTATTTGTTTTCTAGGGATTCCTTTTGGAAAATGCCAGGCCGGAAGTTTGCTGATGGTGAGGTGGTGATGGGCCGTTGGCCAGGAAGTGTCCTGTACTATGAAGTACAAGTGGCTAGTTATGATGATGTTTCTCATCTTTATACTGTTAAGTACAAAGATGGGACTGAACTTGCGTTGAAAGAAAGTGATATAAGGGTGAGTACGCGTTTATGTAATTATCAGTATTTCTGAGGGAAGATGATATTGATTTTGTGATATAGATAAAAATACAAGTTATAATTGGATAGTTGCCTTGCAAGTTTTCATTAACTGTGTCTTCAAGGAATTAGTGCTAAATAATAGCTCTTTCCTATGTGACATCTGAAGTAGAAGTTCAGAATGCTGACTCTATTTTTAAAGAATCGTGAATGTTTTCTTTATGTTGGAAAAAGGAGTTATATGTTTGGGGAAGAACAAGTCTGATTGTTCAGGAATTCTATGGCATGATTGTTCATGAAAAACTTGTTTTGGGTAGCTTATAAAGCTAGTAATCAGAGGATTGATACTAATTTTACTTTTTTTCCAAGTTTTTTAACTTTTTTTCTTACTTCCAAGTAAGAAAATTTGAAAACAAATGCAAGCATGTAGTTAAGGATCACCATAAATATAAATAGTGCATACCCTTTAAGCATATACTTAAAATATCTGTGCATAGCTTGTACCAGTTTAGGTCTCCAAAGGTCTCAGAAGGTATTTTGGTCTCTTTGTGATACTTAAGCACTTTTCAAAAAGGGTCATGTCATATGTATATGAGCACATCCCTCCCTCTTTACGTATCTTTTTTTCATTTTACGTATCTTATTTCATTTTCTGTTAATAATAAAAGCCTTTAAAACTCAGCGTAGAAGTTTCATTTCAATTTAAAATGTGATAATGCATAAGACAAAAAGCTATTTGAATGTTTACTGTAGTTGCTTTCTAAGGCCTATTCTGAAACCTGCATAAGTTCAAAGCTAACTGGTGTGTCTTTATGTGAGCTTTAGTTTCACTTTTGGTGGCAGCGTACATGCCCTGTAACTGACCTTTTCTTTTGGGACAAAGTGTTTCTGCCTTGAGCTACACACACATTTTCACTGCTTTAAGGCTTTCTAACTTGTTTACTTTGTGCTTGCAGGTTAGCAAACTCAAGCTGAGAAAATACCTTTCTTTATCATAAAGCATATGTGCCTTAGAAAAGTTGTGTTTTGGAAATTTTATGTGGGAACTTAGCATTGTAAACTTCACAGAGAAATAAAACTGAGAACTTTGGGGGGAACCTTTATATTGCATCTGGTTTTAAGATTTAACTGACTTGGGATTTCTTTCTGTTCGTTTGAGCTGTGTTGCCTTAAACAGATCATTGCATCTTCATATGTCAAATGTATTAATAAAGCTAAGTAATGGAAATAATAGCTGTCTCTTCAGGCTTAAGGGGCAGCTATCACTTCATTTGCTTGTGCAAAGGCTTAAGAGGGTAGTACGCCTAAGAGCCTGATGCTCACGTTGATAGCTCACATCCATATCCTGATTTCTGTAGCTTGCCAGGAGCTGTCAGCAGTTTGACGTGGGATGGGATTATTTGGGTATTGCCAGCCAAATGGGTATGCTGTAGCTGCTCTTTCCTAACAGCCTTTGTACAGCATCAGTAAAGGAAATAAGAGACAATTCTGTAGAACTATATGCCAGAGTCCTCATTAAAAAAAAAACAAGTTTCTGAAATTGTTCTTTGGAACATCTAAGATAAAGATTTTGCTTTCTTCCCCTCTTTCTTTTAGTCACTGTCATCATTCAGGCATAGGAAGAGCCAGTCCTCTTCAAGTTCTCCCTCCAGAAGAAGTAGTAGCAGATCTCGATCTAGATCTCCTGGCCGGCCAGCAAAAGGCAGGCGTCGTTCTTCTTCCCAAAGCAGAGAACATAAAGATGACAGAAAGAAAACCATTCAGGAAACCAACTTAGCTCTACTGGTATTAGTTTTTTTGTTTGTTTGTTCTTTGTGTGTGGGTTTGTTGGATTTCAAAATTTTGCCATTTGAGAAAGATTTGTTGTATGCATACTGAGTTTATTATTGTAAAAGCTAGCTGTACTTCATGTTCCCTGAACAACATAATTAGCTGCAAAAGCGTATCTCAGAACTGCGATACACTTTTCTAGCTTGCCAAGTTAAGTTCCGTTTGAATTTGGTGGTACTGTGAAGTTCTCAGGATTCAAACACACACATATTCTTGAATATTTTAATATAAAATCGTTGATAGCCGTATGCTCCCACTTGTGAAATGGGGCAAAGGAAGTTATCCTACTTTTAGGATGTATTGAGCAGTAGATAGCAGATAGGTATTAGAATATGAAGTAAAATGAGTTCTGTTTTCATATACAGTTCATTAAAATAGTAATGGAAAACTTGTGAAGCTTCTGTGGGAGAATTGCTGCAGAACTGAAGTGTAAATAGATATGTATGGCCTTGCAGATTGATAATGTTGCAGAACCGTTTTCATTATAAAAACTATGCTGTAAGGATTTGTAAGTTTATCAAATATCTGTTTCTCAGCTGAAATTTATCATGTTTGGTTTTGGACTTTTTCTGAAGGTTATATTGAGTATTAAAAATGGTTCTGGTGTTCTGTAAGGGAAGTATAGTAGAGGTGATGTTTATTAAGAGACAAATAGCATTTCTTCTACATCTTGTGCTCTTGATAGCTTCAAGTGATACTTGTCTGAGGCATAGTCCCTTGAATTGGAAATGCCTTCTGCTGATCTGTTGAAAATAGATAGGTTTTAGTTAGGTTTCAGCTGAGCTAAACTAGACCAATCTAAACTAAATAGATAGGTTTAGTTTAGTAAATTGCTACTAAAAGCATTATTTGGCACTGAAATTGCTGTGGGTTTTGTTTTGCAGTGAACTACTTTGAGCTGTGTGACCCAGTGTGTAACCTGTGGACCATATGCTCATTTTAAGTAGTTTATAGCCAGCAGTTACACTTTGCTTTGGACAGAAAGGTTAAAATATCTTTGGTCTTTTTCTCCTGACTTCTAATTGAGGAGTGGGATTGATCTGTTGGTTGTTGTACAACTGGAATTACCTGGTCCTTTTCAACAACGTTTAAGTTGAAATAAAACAAAGCAGATGAGTCATGTCTCCCCAGAGTTTAGACTAGATTCATTAAAAGAATTTTTTGTAAGATAATGTATTTTTTAGAAAGGTATTTAATGGAAAGCCAACTTTCAGTCCTGCAGAGCAGTGTCGTATATAAGACACTGAAATTTCCTCTGCTTCCCTAACAGAATTGCTAAATAGACATGTATTTTGTACTTGGCAGTTCCTAGGGATAAGTTAAAAATAACTTGGAAGCTGTATTCTCTCTTAAATGAGTTTTCTTCCCTTGTTTGTGAGCTGAAAATGTCTATACTTTGGATATTGAACCTACTTGTTTTCCTGTGGAGAAAACTGGAGCAGTTGCAGTTGAAAAAAAAACCCCAAAATAGTGTTCTTAATTATTCATTATATACTTACACTTATTGCAGCTGTTATTTTCAGAAAGGTAATACTGTGTTTTTTCTTTTAACCAGAAACCGAGTGAGAATAACACCCAAAGTTACAATGGTGAACCTGACAGTACAGAAAGAAATGACACATCCTGCATAATCTTGGAGGTATGAACATTGTATTTACTCTTAGTTTTGTGTCGCATTCTAACTTAGCTTTCTCAGAAATCCCTAGAAAAGAACAGTGCAATAATCAAGGACAAACAGAATGCAACATAAAACTTGGAGGTCAGTAAGTTTACTGTTCAGCTAAGTTCGTTCAGGGGAGAGGGAGATGAAGCTGTCGGAAGGGAACAGTACTAGAACTCCATAACATTCATTTTTCTTGTTTGGTTTTTTCCACCAAACTCTCACTTGTGTTCATTCCCTGCTTTTACAGTGTGAATGTTTGTCCATAGAAAGTGATATTTTGAAATAATTTGTTTATTTATTCCTCCATATCGGTTCTTTAGTCCTGATTGTTAGCTAATGCAAGAGTTATGGCAGAAAGGAGGGGCTGGGAGTGGGAATGGATGACCTCTACCAGAACTGTTGCCGATACATAATCGTGGATGAAGTGATCACAGTGAGAGTGGTTTTAGCAGGCTCTTTGTATAAATGTATAAAACTCAAGTACTGTATGGAAGTAGAATGCATTGTATATTGGTGTGTTATAGTGAATATTGTCCTGCTAAGTATAAATCATTAGAGTGAAAGAAGTTAAATCACTAGGAACTTCTTTAGTAAATGCTTTTTATTCATTAACAGCAAAAGTCAAAACCAGAGCTGGAAATACAGCGTGTGCTTGAACAGTACAGCTTGCGTCCAAGAAAAGAAGAAAGGAAAAAAGAAGAGATATATTCAGAGAAGAAGATTTTTGAGACAAGAAAAACAGTTGAGAAAGCAACACCAAAAACAAAGGAGCTAGAGTTTGGTGGAAGAATTGGTATGTATGCAAATTGTCATGATAGTTGAAAATTAGTACGCTTTGGGTTTTTTACTTACTGACCATACTGTCATGTCGAGAACTGTTTTTCCAATTTTTGGACCCTGGTTGCAGAATCCAGAGTTGTAGCACAGTGGAATAGATAGATAATGACAACCTCCTCTTTGTCACTGAAGTTAATGTTGAGCTTTATTAGTGGGATTGAACCTAGTTTTTTGTATTTTCTGTTTATCTCCTAATATGGCATGATGTCTGTTTACAGGGACCTTCATGATGATATTTTTCCTGCCTGCTACTGTGTTCTACTTGCTGTTGATGTGCAAACAAGATGATGCCAGTCTTCTGAACTTCCCTCCTCCTCTCCCAGACCTTGAAAGTCTTTGGGAGGCGAGAGTGTTTGGTGTTTTTCTTCTGTGGTTTTTCCTTCAAGCTCTGTTTTACTTGCTGCCAATTGGAAAGGTAACCTGTTCAGTAACATTTGGGTCTTTATGGATAATTAATTTTGTGTGAGGCTGGAAAGCAGATTATTCTCTTAGTAGTGAATTTGAAAGCAGTTTAATTAACTTTCTGTATTAAGTTGGAATATAGCTATTGCAGATTTCTGTAAGCTTAAAATAACAGTTGGTTAAGAATTTAATGGCTGTGCATTTCACAGTCCTACAGTAGAAAAGGAAGAAGGCTTTATATAGGAGCTCAAATCAAGGCATGGATAAAATCTGCTTGGTAAAATTCTAGAAGAATTTCAAGTATCTGAGTTTTAAACTGACAAACTGTGTGATACCCAGTTCCTTACTGATGTCCAGTGTTTTGGAATATAATTTTCCCTTATGGGAAGCTGTAAACCATTCTAGCCATATGTGTAATCAGGCAAATACTGGTTTCCTCTTTTTGTGACTTGAGAGGTACTGCCAGACTCTGAAAGAACACTGCAATAAATAGATCATTCAGTCACGTTGTTCTGTTGCTATACATATTTACAGTGCTTGGAGCTGTGCTGTTTTCTTGAGGTTTGTGAGGAAGAAATTTCTTAAAATGTTTTATTTGAAACTGTTACCCTTTTTCTTTTGATACCCAAAGTGTGCTTTTCAGAACAATGCATGATCTTCAGATTTGAATGTGCCCAGCCGGTTACCTTGACTGAACGTTTTGTGGCAGAGATGTGCTTGATTTCCCTCTCCTGCCAGTGCCCCCAGAAAGTCCTTTGTTGAAACAAACACTAGTATTTTATTCTTCCTAGGTTGTAGAAGGCCTGCCTCTCTCAAATGGAAGGAAACTGCAGTACCGGATAAATGGTAAGCATGTTGCAGGTGCTTATTCTGACATTTGATACCACTATCTGATTTGCAGCACTGGTGCCATGATATACAAATGATGAAAGATACACTCTATGGTCAAACTAGGCATCTGTTGTAAATCTTTCATAAAATAGGAGGAGCCTTCTCTTGGAACAAGCAGGTTAGTAATGATGAGGAATTAACTGCCCCAAGGGCAAGACATTACACTGTACTGGGCACCTGGTCTGCATCCAGCGTGACTGGTGGCTCCTGTTGTACTCCTTGCATAACTGCTGAATGGGCACTTGCCTGTTGGAAGTGTTAGTAATGCTCATGTAATGAGGACTGTTGCTCTGGAGGAGATGTTCAGGGGTGATCTGAAGAAATCTTAACCCATCTGTCTAGATCATCTTGGATGTCTCTGATTTACAGACTAGTAAGACGTGTGTTGTAATTGATTTCAGATGTTCTTATTTTTGCCTGGCAAAGAGCAGTTCTGAGTCCTTTTTCAGATCTTGTTTCACTTCCTATGAATAAGGCAAGTTTTCAAGGTTTAGAGTATGGTTTAACATATTTCAGCAGTTTGCTTTTCCATGCTTAAATAGAAAAGTGCACTTTGATGCCTCACAAGTATGCCAGCCTAGCTATTTAATGGATCAGTCAGTCAAGGACACAGGTGGTGGAATCCAAGTGTTATATTAAAAAGCTGAGTGGGGTTTTGTCGTAGTCTGAGAAGATGGACCATCTTAAAGTCACGGTTTTAAGATGGAATAGAACTGTGAATCACAGAAGCAGAGTGAATTACATCCTGCAGAAGTGAGTCATATTGAGGCTGTCTTGTAACTTTTTTGCCTTTGGACTTCTGCCTTTAGTAGGGGCATAGTCCTGCAATTTTTTTCCCCATTCTCATAAAGAGAGGAAATAAGCTACATGGTTTGGATGCTTTTTTGTTTTTTTTGTTTTTTTTTATATAGCCATCTTTCTGCTTGCAAGGCTAATTTTCAAAGCAACTCTAAAAACCTTACTGAGGAAAGGAAGGAGACCAGTGAAAGGACAAGAGGCAATAGGCACAAACTGAAATGCAGGAGGTTCTGGCTGCATCGGGAAACACTTTTTTTACTGTGAGGGTAACTGAGCACTGGTGCAGATTGCACAGAGAACTTGTGAAGTCTCCATCCTTGGAGATATTCAAAAGCCATGTGGACACAGTCCTGGCCAACTGGTTCTAAGTGGCCCTGCTTGTTCTCCCTGTTGGACTAGATGAACTCCAGAGGTCCCTCCTGTTGGCCAACTGGTTCTAAGTGGCCCTGCTTGAAATTCTCCCTGTTGGGACTACATGAACTCTAGAGGTCCCTTCTGACCTCAACCTTTGTGGCTCTGCAAAAGTGTTCATAGGAAGAGCTGTGCAGAACTGCCTGCTGATATGTGGACATCATTCAAAGTATGTGATTTTATGCTCTCAAAGTACCAAAGTTTTGTGTTCAAGTGTTGACTTGACAGTTATTTTAATGCTTTAATTACTGGTATCTGTATCAAGGTATGTATGAAGATAAATAGTTGAAGAAGGAAATGTGGTTCTCTGAGCTGTCCAAGAGATAAGAGTTTGTCACTTGCTAGCATTTTCCAGTTGTAGTGTCAGTGTCCATTTTTCCACTAGAATCTGAAATCAGATCTTATGTTGTTGTAAAAAATTTAGGACTGTTCGAGTGTTCCTGCCTGTTGACCTTTGGATGAAGAGCACCAGAACTTTTGGGGTGTAGATAGAATGTCTTAGGTATACTGCTGTGCCCCAGAAGTTTGAACCTCGAGAGCATGGGTTGTGTAAGACATTATTGGTATACAGACAGATCTTGGAAGAATTCAAAATGCAGAAAGGCTGGACTGGGTAGGTTCTATTAGAATGATTTTTTTTTTATTTTGGCTAATATGTTTTTCTTCTACATCTTTTAGGGTTTTATGCTTTTATTTTTACTGCTGCCATTATTGGAACTTTATTATACTTTCAATTTGAGCTTCATTATTTGTACGATCACCTCATGCAGTTTGCAGTGTCAGCTGCAGTTTTTTCTGTGGCGTTGAGCATTTATCTGTATATTCGATCCCTGAAAGCACCTGAGGAAGAACTTGCACCAGGTGGAAATTCTGGTGAGTTACAAATATTTTGGATTATTTCTTTCCAGTTGTTTGCTACAGTTTAATTTTTATGAATTAAAGGCTAGATTTAGGGATGATTATTATAATACTGTGACTTTTACTTTCTACCAATGTAAAATTAATGTTGCAAGTTAAAGGGCAATTTTTTGTTCACACTTGGATACTGTAAAATGCTTAAAATTTTAGCTGGATTACCTTGAATAGCTTATGCAAAAGTATCTTGGCTGGTCTAGTCTCCTAGCGATGAGAGGCCGGTTCCTTCCTTGCCGTTTCAACATTTGTCTGAGAGGCTTGTCTCGTTCCCTTCCCAGTGCCCCTGCTGGTGGGCCTTTTCCTGAAACAGCGGGGAATAGAGAGAAAACTGAAAAATCTAGGTGGGATTTTGGCAGTGGGAAATCCAGCGCAGAACCTGAAATTGCAGGGTATTTCTAAATTTTTATTTTGCTGTGCACTTTCAAATCTAGTTACCTAAACTGAGTTTTCAAGAGAAATTTTGATTCAGTCATGAGACCACCTACCTAGAAAGTATCCATTACATGCATATGCTTTTGTAGGGCAAAGGATGGATTGAGAAGCCAATTAGCATTACACATTAAACAAACTGCTTTTAAAAATGATCCTAGGGTGACTAAGAAAGGGAGTTTATGGCCAGAACGTTCAGTGTATTAAAATGAAGTATTCAAATACCCTCAGTTCCTTTGTCAGTGCACTTTGGGAAGTGCAGTTCTGCTCTCTAGGTGGCACAGTAGCATCTGTAACTGCTCTGCAACGTGCTTGTTACCTGCTGACTCAGTGCAGAGTATCTTGACATCGAGGTATTATATTTCTTTCTTGTCCATCTCTTTTGATAGACAGGTAATTGTCATAGCTGAAGGAACTCTTGCTCCCAGAGAAGAGCAATGAAGTAGGAGGAAAAGTAGAATTAATTAATACCATAAGATGATGGTAGCTGTGATGTGAGCTTCAGGATAAGGCTGAAAATAAAGAAGAAACCAGTGTCCAGGAGAAATGAACCTACAGTAACTTCTCAAATGTTTAGTCTTCCTAATAAATATTTTGGCCTCTTAAAATATAAACCATTTGGGTTTTGCTTTGTATTTTGCATATACTCACATTTTTCTTGCCAGTCTAAAGACTTTTCCTTTATTTCCAGTGGGAGAACTTCAGTAGAAAGTAGGAACTGCTTTACAGGGAGGAGTGTAGTGGCCTATAAAAGGAAGAGTATTGCTAACAAAGACTGTCTTATCTGCAGGGTATTTTGTTTATGATTTTTTTACTGGCCATGAATTAAATCCTCGTATTGGCAGTTTTGACCTCAAATACTTCTGTGAGTTGCGTCCAGGATTAATTGGCTGGGTGAGTCAGTAATGCTATTTTTAATGTATTTGCTTAAATATTACACAAATTGATTATTTTATATATATATTAAAAATTAAGGATATAATATGTATTTACAAGTAGGAAAAAAGTATGTACAAACAGTTTCATGTTGCCAGATTTTTAATGACCATTTTTATTCACTTTAGGAAAACTACATTCTAGCTTCTTTGCTTTGTGGGAAATGAAAACCATTCTTAAAGTTTTCGTATGCTGAGGCTATACCGCTTCAGAAATGCAGTTAGTTTCAAACTGTTGCTTGTGAAACAGGTCACTCTTTTTTTTTTTTTTTTTAAACTTAAACATTGGTCAAAAACCTCTGTATTGAAATGTCCTGCAGTGTGACAGAAAAGACCGCTTTCTTTTACATGGAAATTGTCTAAGAAAATATTTTCTCAACTAGGTTGTTATAAACTTGGCAATGCTCTTGGCTGAGATGAAGATACACAATCAGAGTATGCCGTCGCTGTCAATGATACTCGTGAACAGCTTTCAGCTTCTCTATGTGGTGGATGCTCTTTGGAACGAGGTAAATGACAATCACATTAAGCTGTTACCATTTGTAATTACAGTGCTAAATGAATGAAGCTTTGTATATTCTAAATCCCTTTCTCTTTGTTTCTAGGAAGCTGTTTTGACTACAATGGATATTACCCACGATGGATTTGGATTCATGCTGGCATTCGGAGACTTGGTGTGGGTTCCGTTTGTCTACAGTCTGCAGGCCCTCTATTTAGTTGGTCATCCTACTGCCATTTCTTGGCCCGTTGCTGCTGCCATTACTACTCTGAACTGTAAGTTGGATAGTAAACGTTACTGTTAGAGTAACAATGTAGTACTGATTTTTGTTCCTTTGAGCTGTGAGGCGAAGCTTTAGCTAAGATGCAGTGATCATATTTTCTGTATTACCACAGCTGGTGGAAGCATGTGTCTGGCTACCATTTAATACAAAAAATACCATAAACTCTCATTTTATTAAATGAAGGATAAATTAAAATCTGGACACCTAATTGTTGTGTTGAGAGGCATCTTTAGATGGATGCTGTCTGGAGTTGCGGAAGTAACTTAAAACATTTTTAATGAAGTGTAGCAGATGCTTTTTAAAGTGACTCTTACAAAAAAGAAGTCAGTAGCTCTGGCTGCGCTTTACTGAACCTAGGGAGGAAGAGGTTTTGTCGTTTAACAATTTGCATCTCCTTCCCTCATGCCTGTAGTTACAAACTCATGTCAGTGGAAAACATCTCCTTTTTTCCTAGCTGAGTGCTTTGAGAAAGGATCTCGCGTCTTTAGGGGACCTTAAATTTGCACCAGTGTGGCCTTGTACTTTGTCCCTTTTGAAGTAGTAAATCTAAAAGAAAAAGTTTTTTTAGACATGACAAAGAACTTAAACTCTTGGAAAGAGTATGAAAGCGTGTCACTTGGTATGTGCAATCCTGAGAAACGTCATCTTTTTTTCATTTTCAGTTAATACCTTTTCTTGTGGGTTTTTTTTTGGTGGGTTTGTTTTGGTTTTTTTCAACATCTTTATTTGAAGTATGTTGTGATCATGTTTTTCAATACAGCCTCAGAAAAAAGCAAATTTAAGCTGCCTTGTGAAAAACGATGGGGGAAATGAATTTCAAAACCAGATAATACTTCATTGTCTGGTTCTTGTAATATTGTGAACTTGTAACTAGTTGGTCAGTTTATGGAGTAGGCACTGAAGCAAAATACTGGGCTGCTAATCTGACAAACTGCAGCACATCGCTTTATATGAATTTCGAACTCAGTGTTACATTAATAGACTAGAAGTCAGATATAAATGTAAAAGTAGATGTGAAATACAGCTTCTCCAGAATCTTAGAAGTTAGTGATGTGTAAGAGCATCTGGAATGCAGGTCTCCAGTGGCATTTCTGACTTGTTAGAGCTCTGAGAACCAGAGAATATCGGTTACATGTCTGAGGTAAAGACGTAGTGGCAGCGAGCATGTGAGCGCCTTTGTGGAAGGAAAGAAAACTGGAAAATGCTGAAAATGCAAAATAAATGATATTTATTTTCAGGTGTTGGGTATTTCATCTTCCGTAGTGCAAATTCTCAGAAAAATAATTTCCGAAGGAATCCAGCAGATCCCAAATTGGCCTGTAAGTGCATTTCTCTGTTTGTTCAATCGCTACACAATGTCTCTTTGTACTATTGAAATACACATTTCAATTGTTGTGTTGACTACAATACTCTATTCACAGATCTGAAATTTATACCTACTGCAACTGGAAAAGGGCTTCTTGTCACGGGTTGGTGGGGTTTTGTTCGTCACCCTAATTATCTCGGTGACATCATCATGGCTCTGGCATGGTCTCTACCCTGTGGTAAGTTCCTGAAACTACAGTGCATTTTATCAGAATGCTCGTACGTTTTGGCTTCTGACTGGGTTTGAAATGCAAAGTGGCAATTATTTGAGAGACTAAAACCTGTAGTTAATTGAATGGCGAATTTCTGTGTTGTAAGCTTAACGTGACACCTATTTTCCTTACATCTTATCCTTTACATTTTACTATAGATTTGAGTCTTCTTTCTGACACTTGATCACTCAGTAACAAAGGCTAGTGGCTGTGCTATAGTATTTTCAAAGGGAGCTCCCAAGAAGTGGGAGTTTGCGTGGAGACAAGGACTACCACATACAGGGATGGACTTAAGCAACATGTATTTAAAAAAAAAAAGTCATAAAACACAAAGCAGTGGAATTCTGTTCCCAAGTTTTTGTTAATGAATGCTTCCTAGTTTTCATGAAGTTTACATTTGGAGGAAGTTAGGAAGCCTTGTGTCCAGTGGGTTTTCTTTTTATAGTCCTGGTTCACAGAATCACAGAACTGCCTGTTCCGAGGTAGAGCTACTCCACACCCCAGGGCACAGTCAGACTCTTGCAGATTGTGGGACACCGGGGAGTGAAGCTTTGTCACCGAGTGCTTAATGCCCTGACCAGGAGCATCAGCTGAGAGGATGCTGCAGTTCAGATGTCCCCTGAGGGGTTTATTTTATTTTGGATTTTAATTGAAAGTAGACAATACTAGATTAGCATCTACGCTCTCGAAAGAGGCTTTCCCCCACAAACATGAGGAATCTTCTGTCAGCATTGCAATGGCAGAAGCAGAGGTGTTGCTGTAACTGGGGGGGGGGGGGGG